GGCAGGCGTCCACTTAGTATTCTGAACTGGGGCCAGCTCCCCAGACCTCTCCACTGGTTCCCATACAATAACATTTTTAAGAGCACTTCCAATAAAATGATATTTTAAAATAATAAATTTTTTTTAAAAGAACTCGAGTGGGGGAGTATTTATGTATCATAGAATTTTTAAAATCTAGAGTTTTATGCTGAACATTATAAGTTGATAAAGGCAATTATACCTAAATAAATGAATATTCAATATAGTTAAGATGTCATTCTTCTCCAATTGGTTCATAGATTTGACACAATTCTGATTAAAGCCTCTGTGGAATCCTTCTTAAAGTAAATAATAGATTTATCTGATTCTAAATTGTATTTGGAAGGCAAGGACCTAGAACAGCTTTAAACACTTAGGAAGAAGAAGAGTAAAGTAGGAGGAGTCTTTCTGTTTGTTACAGTAATGAGGACATTGTCTGTTGATGAAGGGCAGACACAGCTGTGAGTAATGTGAGAGTCCAGAAATAGCACAACATCAGTAGATGCTCATTTCATCTTTGGGAGAGGTATACAGCAGTTCAGTGAAGAAACTTTTTAACACATGATTAAAAACAAATTCAATAAACTTTTAAACAAATTGTGTTGAAACAATTGAACATCTGTTTTTATATTTGACAGAAAGATCTCAGCTTAAACCTCATATCTTATGCAAAACTTTAATCAAACTGGGTTATAGAGCTAAATGTAAAAACAAAATTTCCAGCAGAAAACATAGAAGGAAGTCCTGTGACCTACGGTTAAAGAAATAACCCTTAGGAAGATCACCAGCAGCACGACTGAGCAGAGAAAAGCTTATAAGTTGAACTTAATCAAAATAAAAGAGACTTTGGGTGGCTTAAAGGGGTAAGTGCTTGACTACTGGCCAAGAGGTGCCTGGGAGGTCAAACTAAACCAAACAAACCCGTTACCTGTGAACTGGGTTCTGACCCACAACCTTGAGAACCCTATGGAGCCGTTCTGCTCAGTGTTCACTACCACCCCTCTGGTGATAAGGAAGAGCAATGCTTGAAGCCACAGAGAACAGAGAACCCTGAGGACCTTGGGAGAGCTGTTCAGGATCCCCGTCTGAAGTGATGGGGGCCCCCAGGAGCAGATGCATTGCATCTTGTAGCAGAGAGACTTGGAAGCAGTGCCTAGACTAGGAGCTCCCTTTTTTTCTGGCCCCAGACAATGGAACTGTGGGACAGAGAGGCAGTAGGCCTGGCTTTTTGGCTCATGGAGGCAAAGACCAACGGACCACATGATGGTCGAGAGACAGAACTGGAGAGACTTCGCTACCACGTGCTGAGAGGCTGAGAACCAGAGAGAGACGTACGTGGCTGCTGGCTGAGGAGACCAATGACTATGTCATTACTGTTGGGTCTTTTCTTGTGGAAACCTATTAACTTCCCTAATAAACCCCCTTAGCCATGAGTGTTGTCTGGGTTCTGTGTGGCCATTGCAATGAGTGATTGAACACAGCATAGATGTAGAGCGGTGGGGGAGGAGTGAACCATCGGTGTCAAATGAAGAAGGATGGAGCGGGGGCATGTCTGACCGCGGCCTTGTGGCAGTAGTCAAGCCAGAAGAGGTCAGTTCTGTTTGCCTCCATTGCCATTTGTCATAGCATGTATACGTTTATTTAGTTGCTTAATTAATAATAACTACTCTGTGTACCCAGTGAACTGGGTATTATCAAACATAATAGTACTCGTTAGCAAGGTGTGGGACCCTCCTACACTGCGGGGGAGAATCTAAAATGGTGCAGCCGCTGTGTTAAACAGCTGGTAGTACCTCCAGAATTGAACGTAAGACCCGGCCAGTTCACTCCTGGGTATTCCTGGAGAGGATTGAGATACTCAATAAAAAACTTGTCCATAGAGGTCTAGATAAAGACATGTACATATGCAAATATA